CCCTAGTCGATACCGGCGCCGACTACTCTATCATCAGTGGTCTCTTCGCCGCTAAGCTCAAGAAGGTAAAGACTGCATGGGAAGGACCGGATATCCGAACAGCAGGGGGCCACCTTATAACACCGACTGGAACCTGCACGGCAAGAGTCACGATTCACAGCCAGACGTATTCTGTGAATTTTGTGGTCCTGCAGCAATGTTCGCGAGACGTCATTTTAGGCATGGATTTCCTGGACCAGCAAGGCGCAGTCATCGACCTAAGATCCAGGTCAATCACGCTGTCCACGGATAATGCAACGGCGTCAGACTGCAACGTCGCCCACAATGCCTTGAATGTGACAGAAGAGCAGGTAACCATCCCGCCACTGTCGAGCGTCATCATTTCCGTCGGCACCAAAGCGTCTACCAACTTACAAGGCGTCATCGAAGGCGACCAGCACCTGCTCCTAAACCGTCAGATGTGCTTCGCAAGAGGCATAGCCAAGCTTCATAACGGCGAAGCCAAGGTAATGGTGACGAACTTCAGCAACGAATATAGGCACTTGAATAGGGGCACGACGGTAGCACATCTAAGCGAATTTGTGGAAGCGAGCAATGCCTTCGCCCTCACCGATTCTCAGGGAGCCGCAACGTCGACAGCAGTGTCCGCGCCCGCCTTCGACGTCAATCAAAGCCTTTCCAGGCAGCAACAAAAGACCCCCAGTGGCGCACTGCGCCGGCTTTTAGATGCGGAAGCATCTTATACTCGCGCCTTGTAGTGCGCCGTCCGCGCCGTCCGCACCGCTTCTCGAACATTCGACAGCTGACGCGCGCGCATGCGCCGTCGCGCCGTCGCCCACTCTTCCACCATCTGTGCATCCCTTCCTCCTCTACACACCGCGCGCGCTTCACTGCTCCACCATCTGTGCACCCTTCCTCCTCTACACACCGCGTTCGACATCTACAATTCTCCCGATTCTCCAGTGGACGCGCATGTGGCGTCGCGCTTCGAGAACATTCAACAGCTGACAGTGCATGCGCCGTCGCGCTGTATATATACTCAAGGTCGGCGCTCGCTCGCTCAGTTGCCGCTCGTCGGTTGGTTTGTACGGCGCGTCGGCGTCCAAGGTCGCGGTGAAATGAATTCCAACGAATCCACAAACACAATGATCGACGTCCCTTCGACCAGCGCCGCCCTTTCGCATACGTGTGTACGTGTTCACTCATTTAACACCCCCTCCTACAACCACGTTAACCAATTTAGCCATCGACCCAAGTAAGTCGCAATTTAACACCCCATTTCACAACCACGTTAACCAATTTAGCCATCGACCCAAGTAAGTCGCACTTTAACACCCCGTTAACCAATTATATGCTCCGCATCCTCCTCAGTGTTCCCCCGAGGGAAGCTGCGGGCAATTTTTTTATACACGCGTCGTAACGCGTTCCAGAGTGGCATACAAGATAAACGCGGCCTGCGTTGCGCTTAACAGAAAGTGATAGCGGCTTCCTTCGTAAACCAAAAGAACCGCATGTGTCAGTCTTTTATACACGCGTCATAACGCGTTCCAGAGTGGCATACAAGATAAACGCGGCCTGCGTTGCGCTTAACAGAAAGTGATAGCGGCTTCCTTCGTAAACCAAAAGAACCGCACGTGTCAGTCTTTTATACACGCGTCGTAACGCGTTCCAGAGTGGCATACAAGATAAACGCGGCCTGCGTTGCGCTTAACAGAAAGTGATATCGGCTTCCTTCGTAAACCAAAAGAACCGCACGTGTCAGTCTTTTATACACGCGTCATAACGCGTTCCAGAGTGGCATACAAGATAAACGCGGCCTGCGTTGCGCTTAACAGAAAGTGATAGCGGCTTCCTTCGTAAACCAAAAGAACCGCACGTGTCAGTCTTTTATACACGCGTCATAACGCGTTCCAGAGTGGCATACAAGATAAACGCGGCCTGCGTTGCGCTTAACAGAAAGTGATAGCGGCTTCCTTCGTAAACCAAAAGAACCGCACGTGTCAGTCTTTTATACACGCGTCATAACGCGTTCCAGAGTGGCATACAAGATAAACGCGGCCTGCGTTGCGCTTAACAGAAAGTGATAGCGGCTTCCTTCGTAAACCAAAAGAACCGCACGTGTCAGTCTTTTATACACGCGTCATAACGCGTTCCAGAGTGGCATACAAGATAAACGCGGCCTGCGTTGCGCTTAACAGAAAGTGATAGCGGCTTCCTTCGTAAACCAAAAGAACCGCACGTGTCAGTCTTTTATACACGCGTCGTAACGCGTTCCAGAGTGGCATACAAGATAAACGCGGCCTGCGTTGCGCTTAACAGAAAGTGATAGCGGCTTCCTTCGTAAACCAAAAGAACCGCACGTGTCAGTCTTTTATACACGCGTCAGTAACGCGTTCCAGAGTGGCATACAAGATAAACGCGGCCTGCGTTGCGCTTAACAGAAAGTGATAGCGGCTTCCTTCGTAAACCAAAAGAACCGCACGTGTCAGTCTTTTATACACGCGTCATAACGCGTTCCAGAGTGGCATACAAGATAAACGCGGCCTGCGTTGCGCTTAACAGAAAGTGATAGCGGCTTCCTTCGTAAACCAAAAGAACCGCACGTGTCAGTCTTTTATACACGCGTCATAACGCGTTCCAGAGTGGCATACAAGATAAACGCGGCCTGCGTTGCGCTTAACAGAAAGTGATAGCGGCTTCCTTCGTAAACCAAAAGAACCGCACGTGTCAGTCTTTTATACACGCGTCGTAACGCGTTCCAGAGTGGCATACAAGATAAACGCGGCCTGCGTTGCGCTTAACAGAAAGTGATAGCGGCTTCCTTCGTAAACCAAAAGAACCGCACGTGTCAGTCTTTTATACACGCGTCGTAACGCGTTCCAGAGTGGCATACAAGATAAACGCGGCCTGCGTTGCGCTTAACAGAAAGTGATAGCGGCTTCCTTCGTAAACCAAAAGAACCGCACGTGTCAGTCTTTTATACACGCGTCATAACGCGTTCCAGAGTGGCATACAAGATAAACGCGGCCTGCGTTGCGCTTAACAGAAAGTGATAGCGGCTTCCTTCGTAAACCAAAAGAACCGCACGTGTCAGTCTTTTATACACGCGTCATAACGCGTTCCAGAGTGGCATACAAGATAAACGCGGCCTGCGTTGCGCTTAACAGAAAGTGATAGCGGCTTTCTTCGTAAACCAAAAGAACTGCACGTGTCAATATCGTAGGCTTTTCAGGCCCTTCCTCAACACTCCCTTGGGGCATTCTTCTTAAGTAGCATGCAGCAATGGTGTGGCTCGCTGGTTTAGAACACCGAATTGCAGCACTGATTGATTCCTAGGTTTGATTCCAGCTCGAGCCATGATTTCCACCAAAGTCCTCCAAAGATAGTCCGCCAATTTGGAAATACTGATTCATTCGGTAACACGCGTCAACTTTTCCAATAATACAATATCATACAAGCTGACAAACTTCATGAATTTCGCTCATTGTAGACCCTTTATTTCAAAAATAGGAAGCTCTTCAACTTCATGAGATCACTGCCATCATTAGAGCATGGTGTCATTACAGTACTCGCAAGAAATAAAGACATTTGGGTTGTATACCACGTTCCCATACTATGAATAAGTACCACGTTTTGGCATATAACACTCCCACAACAATTTACACGCGAGAAAGTACGACTACCTGCAACAAGAAACAATTACACTAACATTTCTGCTGTATGTCGTGAAAGGCAATCTCTTCTCGGCCTTTTAGCTAAGATCAAAGTGTAGTCATCAAAGGCACATTTGCAACAAACTATTTTTATAGTTGATACTGTCATAGTTGCATCTAATGTAAATGTATTGTGCCATGCTAAATTTAGTTACCTTGTGTTGTATCAGCGAAATGGACGCATGCATGTGCGCAATGTCAAGTGCGTAGGTGTCGATCTACAGTACACGATCGCCTATGCATTGTGTAGATTGATATCTGGAAACCCTTTCTATAATACATTTACATGAGGTATTTGAAAGTAATGAGTTGGGAAATGATTTTCCAGTATATACTTTTCAGGCTTTCTTTTCTAGGTACGTGTTATGCAACTCGTACAATTTACGCACTACTGCTATGTGCATGTAAAGGTCACTAGGGCCTTTGTCAAACTGTCTTCACGGCATTTATTTATTGGCGGCCTTACAGCTTTGTTTCGTAAATAAAAATTCTAATGGAAGTGAAATGTATGTGCATTATTTGCTTCCAACGGAACATTGCGCTGGTGCAAACGCGGTAGACGCCTGCATCGACTTTTTCCTGCCACCAGACTGCCAAAACTTTAGTGTAAAGATTGGCAAGCTCAGTTCTTGTGGTGCCTTGTTAATATAAACAATGAATCACCTGTGGCCCATACCTGCATACCACCGGTCATGTTAGGCAGGTATGTGCGACACGTGAAACTGGAAAAGAATTTATGACATACGTGACAGGCAATTTACGTTATGTCATGACCTGTTAGTCTTGTCATACACTCTCGTCCTCCAATGCCAGTTTTGGTACATACAAAATATTGTGACAACCGCGAGAGTGCGCAGGCAGAAGTGGTTAGATAGATAGATAGATAGATAGATAGATAGATAGATAGATAGATAGATAGATAGATAGATAGATAGATAGATAGATAGATAGATAGATAAATAGATAGATAGATAGGTAGATAGATAGATAGATAGATAGATAGATAGATAGATAGATAGATAGATAGATAGATAGATAGATAGATAGATAGATAGATAGATAGATAGATAGATAGATAGATAGATAGATAGATAGATAGATAGATAGATAGATAGATAGATAGATAGATAGATAGATAGATAGATAGATAGATAGATAGATAGATAGATATCGATGGAGTATTGCTCTGTGAAGATTTAGAAGCACCACTCGCATAATCCAATTCTGATTGCGAGAACGATGCTTGAAAGTTGTCGCTGTATTTCACTGTCTTTTCCTTTACACCAGAATGTAATCACACGTTCTGGCCAGGTGTTGGTCTCTTCAAGAACATTCACGTTAGTCGCATCGGCGTCAGCAGGAAATCATGACCAAGGAAGACATCGTCATTACCGGCATCTCGGCAAGATATCCGCAAGCGGACAGCCTTTCGGAGTTAAAGGAGAAGCTCTTCGCGAGCGTTGACCTGGTCACCAACGATGATGCTCGTTGGCCCGCAGGTAAGCAACCGATATGGGGAAGTGAAAGGGACCCTTTGAGATGGCACTCTAAATTTTTTCGACGTTTTCGCTATCTTTTGTAATTCACGTCCAGACTCCTACAGTGCTCGGCAATCGGGACTCGGAGCTCGAGAGAGCTAGCGTTGAGGTTGACGTTGTGGGCGAGAACTTTCGGGACGCATGGTGACTACGTCCGTTAAACTCGGCCGGGAATCGGGGACGTAGACGTAGTAGAGAAAGTTGGCACCAAACGACGCTACAGAACCTAAAACCACGTGCGCGCTACCAACTCCGATGGCGAGGCGCACTCACTGAGGCATTCAAGCAACCTTTTCGTCTCGCTCTCCCACACATGCTCCGGTGCACTGTTTTTAGATACTTTATCAGTGCCACCAGCTTTACCAAACGCACCCCCTCCACCCATACAATGTAGGAGCAGTCATGGGCCTTGGAGACAACAGGCTTAAGGCTGACAAAAACGGTGAAGGGAGTTAAATGGCTTTGGCTACACAATAAAGTAGCATACCGAATGGGAGATCGCTTTTCAGCCAACCTAAAACCAGGAGCTGTGTTTGAAAACTACTTTTCTGAGCTTTGAAATGGAAGCTGGAACAGGCCAGAGTAGGCCTCAATCAATGCAGCTCTCGTAGGCTGCGTGGCAAAGTCTTCGAACTACCTTGGATGACAAACATTTTGTGACGTGTCATCAGAATTACGCCTGAAATGTCATAGTGGGTCCCAAGCATCTGAAACCGTATATAGTTTTTAATATCACATTTCGTTCGTGCAATATGATGTGTGTGTGTCTGTGCGTGAGTGCGTGGGGGTGGAAGAGATTACCATTTAGTTACGGTGAGGCGTCAGGCCGCCACCCAGAGATGGCGCGACATGTTCACAAGTCCTGAGAGTGACTCGTTCAGTATTCGCTCATCGGGGTCACCGGTGGAACGTTGCAAGTTATTAGATAGAGGAGGAGGAGGAGGAATAAATGAGGAAGGACAGGGAGGTTAGCCAGTTCTCAGACCGGCTGGCTACCCTGTACTGGGGAAGGGGGTAAGGGGGATAAAGGATGAGAGAAAAGAGACGTTGCAAAAAAAAGAGAGAGAAGGTCATCAGACGATCCACGACGCTGTTTACAGTCTGTCTCTAAGAACACTTGCCTGCAGAAAGCGCAACAACGCTCTCAGTGCCTTGCGTGCAGAGGACGGTCTCGGCCAGTGTCCTAATACACTTTCTTCCAACAATTGGCGATTGTCTATTCTATCTAAAGCTTTTGACAGTTCTTTTCTTGGCACGCTGAAGCGGGGACACTCGCATAGAAGATAGGAGAAAGTCTCTGCGCAGCCACAGTTGTCACATGCCGGGCTTCTGGCCATTCCGATTCGAAACGAATAAGCATTCGTAAAGGCCACCCCAATCCACAGACGGCACAAAAGTGTCTCCTCTGCTCTGGTTATTCCTGATGGAAGACGGAGCTGTAGGTGTGGGTCCAAATTATGAAGGCGGACGTTGGTGAATGTCGGTGAATTCCACTGAGCGAGTGTCAGTTCTCGTGCAAGTGATCGAAGCCTTGCAGCGGCGTCCGTTCTTGATAATGGTATAGCTACACAAGGGGCATCATCATTAGCAGTTCGGGCTGCTTCATCTGCACGGCACGGTCGTTTCCATCAATGCTGCAGTGGCCTGTTATCCATTGATACGCTATGTCATGCGGTTTCTCTATAGTCCGGTGATGAAGCAGTCGTATTTCAGCAATTAGCTGTTCGTTTGGTCCATGACGATATGGCGAGGCAATGCCCTGGAGAGCTGCTTTGGAGTCGGAGAATATTGACCATGTCTGTTGCCGTTCTTCAACTAGGAACTCCAGAGCGGCACGAATGGCGGCGAGTTCTGCCGCCGTGGATGATGTCAAATGCGAGGTCCTGAACTTTATCGTGATGGATTTCTCCGGAATTACCACTGCGCCTGTTGAACTTGTTGAAGTGACCGGCCCATCCGTGTAAATGTTAATGCATCCACTGTGTTTCTCATGCAGAAACAGTAGTGTTATTTGTTTTAGGGCCAAATTTGACAAATTTTTCTTCTTTTGCATTCCGGGGATGGTTATCAGGGCTTCCAGTGGATGTAGACACCACAATGGTAACGACGGTCTTGCTGCGTGCGTGAAGTTCATGGGAATCACCGTGCGATGTGGGGCAATAATAGAGCAGAACGCAGAGCATGGCCTGGAAGTTGGAAGGGAGGCGAGGTGATGCGATTGAATCCGGGTGGCATGTCTTATGTGCGTTCTTAAAGCATCGACACGAATGTAGGTTGTGATAGGGTGTTCATGAGCGATTGCGACAGCCGCTGCTGAGGATGCGCATCTCGGCAGCCCGAGGCATATTCTCAGTGCTTGAGCTTGTAATGACTGGAGGACGTGTACGTTTGTTATGCGGGCCCTGCCAAGCACAGGTAGGCTGTAGCGCATGAAGCCAAGAAAAAGTGCAGAATACAGTTGAAGCATGGCTCGTACCGATGCACCCCATGATTTTCCCGCAGAAACCTTTGGACGTGGGTGATCATGGTCAGTTTCTTCTTCATGTAAGCGATATGAGGGCTCCAAGACAAATCACGATCTATTATTACTCCCAGGAAACGGTGAGTATTTTGATAGCTGACTGTGTGTCCATTAATTCTGATGCGGTATGGCGTCATTTTCTTGCGCGTAAACGCGACTAGTGAGCATTTCTCATATGACAGCTCCAGTCCTCGTCCTTGAAGGTAGTTTGACGTCAGTGTAGCCGCTGTCTGAAGCTTGGCTCGTACGTGTAGACGCGTGACCCCTGATGCCCAGATGCAGATGTCATCCGCGTATATCGACAGATGTACGGAGTGTGGCAGGACGTCATCGAGGCCGATGAGCGCAAGGTTGAAAAGTATGGGGCTTAGGACCCCACCTTGAGGTACGCCGCGATAAGTGCCTTGTTGCGCCATCTTCTGTCTGAACGAAGAAGGTTCTGTCCTTCAAATAGCTGTAGACCCATTGGTAAACGCGGCCTCCCAATCCAATGCTGCCCAAGGCGTCCAGGATGGTTTCATGTTATACTTTGTCGTATGCAGCCTTAATATCCAAGAAAAGTGCCACTGATAATCTCTTTAGGCTCTTCTGCTGTTGTACAGACGTGACAAGATCAACAACATTGTCTATGGAAGACCGTCCACGTCGAAATCCGGTCAAAGCATTGGGGTATATATTGTTATGTTCCAAGTACCATTTATCAGATGGAGCTTAGTAAGCACGGCCCGTGACCACCGGGCTTTTGAAGCCATGGCAAGCAGCGATCCGCCAGTCCCTCCACGAACCGCAGACTTAACGGTTGTCTTCCGGGTGCAGTCACCACGCGTCTCGAACGCTCGCACCCATACCATCACCCTCACTACCAATTACCTTGCGCTCCAAGTATTGCGTCTTGATCACCAAGTACTGTACAGTACTCACGGATTGAAACAGGACATTCGGAGCGTGTGACCCACGGTGCATGTGCCGCCGCTCGCGGGTGCGTGTGGAACGAATGTGTTGCATTGTGGTATAGAGTGAGGGGAAGAACACCCACGGAGCAGAATTACTCCTTCTGGTCAACAAAGTGTCGGCCTGTAGTTCACCATGTGTACACTACCAGGGTGGCGCTGCAAGGCTCACGCACATCCGCATGTCGACCAAACTGGCTCACCGCTGTGCACCACTTTTATTGCCGCGCCAGCTGACAAACGTCTCGTTCTGCCTGATTAGGCGATGTGGTACGCATGCTGTGCAAGTAAGACACAGGAATCAGTTTAGAGATTGCGCCTAGTGTGCGTTCGTAGATATGATAAACATGTGCACAAAAGCATGGAAAGTTTACTACGGGGTTTCTGCCTCGACAAGAAAGAAGATGAGTGGCATGTTTGCCTTCATGCAACATGGACATAATAGCGCGTGTTAGTGTCATTGGGGCAAACTGTGGCCTTTTGTTGAATAAAAATGCAAGAACCTCGCCCGTTCGTCCGTGGCTGACAGCTCTACAAATGCTTGCCACGCAGTATAGCCGCACTATTCGCTGCTCGGCGCGAAACAACAAAATACTAGGTCATTGTTTTGATGCTGAATGGAAACAGGCCTATGGCTGCTGCTTTTCTTTTTCGTCGTGACAAAAATTTTTACAATTTTTATCGGCTTTTGTGCAGCTAATAATCATGTCTACGAGCACCGTTGCAGGTGCGACATCCTAGCAGTATCCAATTTTTTACTTGCGATTCTTACGTGCTCCATCGTCGAAGAGCGCCTATCGAGAGCGTCGGCTGCTTGCGCCGCGATATGAATGGTTCGCACCGTCCACTCAATTCGGGCTGCATGCATGCAAAAGCGGGCGAGCCTTGCAGCGTCACGCTGGCAGTGTTCGCTTTGTCAACTAAATGCGAACTCTTTAGCGACCGGAAGGATTAGCCTGCTCCGCAGCTGTTCTCGCCTTCACACTATACCACAATGCAACATCCTGGTTTGGCGAGCACCCACGAGCGGTGGCACATGCACCGGCGGCCACGCGCTACGAGTGTCCGGTTTCAATCCGTGAATACTGAAAGTGCCTTTAAATTTCTGCGTCAACGACAATATATTGCAACCACTGCATACATCACGATTTCCTATAGGGCCTAGCCAAGCAGTACAAACCACTATTGCAGCGAAAGCTGTTATGAGATCGCTTTTCGGGTCACGCCCAGTTGTTGTCCGCTGCCGCCGCCGCCGGTGTCCGTAACCACATCGCGCGAAATTAGAAAAAAACATCACATCATATCCACGGAGTGAATAATGATGAGTGGGGCGAAACATTCATCAGCCCACCCATGATTTCCTCACGAAATCACCCCTAAAAACCTTGCATTAATGACATGGCGCGTGGGGCTTGAACCCGGGTTCGCTTGGTGCCAGCCCAATATCCTACCACCGAGTTACGTCGATGCTTGTAACTTGTTGTCAAACCTGCCTTAGGCAGGCATGACTTGGCATTATTGGCACAGTGAGGCTCGAACCCTGGTCCACTGAGTGCCAGCCCAGTATTCTACCACTGAGCTACACCGGTTCTTGTGTCTCGTGGTCAAACTTCCCTTAGCAAGGCTTGATGTAGGGAAAGCAATCGCGTTAATACGACTTGATTGATATGTGGGGCTTAACGTCCCAAAACCACCATATGAGAGACGCCGTAGTGGAGGGCTCCGGAAATTTCGACCACCTGGAGTTCTTTAACGTGCGCCCAAATCTGAGCACACGGGCCTACAACCTTTCCGCCTCCATTGGAAATGCAGCCGCCGCAGCCGGGATTCGATCCTGCAACCTTCGGGTCAGTAGCCGAGTACCTTAGCCACTGGACCACCGCGGCGGGGCGCGTTATTACGACTTATAAAGCGTTTTACAACTGCGAAAGAACAACCAGTCGTCGCACAATGCGAATAGCGGAACGATCGGGCCGTCCAGTGCTCCAACCCATCACAAAAGCTTGTTCTTGTCCCCCTATTAATTGTGGCGCATACCCACTTCAGCCATAATTCCTCATCGTCGTCAGCCGCTGTATAGACAATTGGCACAACATTCCTTGCAAGTGCTTAGCGGATACCACGCTTTTCAGAAGAATGACGAAAAATAGCACATCTAATGCCAAAACGGTGCACCTACAATGTCTCTACTTAATTTGGGTACCAATCATTCCGGTTTTGCCAATGACAGCACACATTACACACCTCAACTTTCAAAAAATGCTTATCAGACTCTGTCTTGACAGCTTCTCCAGAATATAAGCACCTATTATTTCCCCGGAACAGTGAGTTATCGCGGTCGAGATTAATGGAAGTGACCATAACCAAACTTCACTGCCGGGTTACCTCCCTCAACTTCTACCTGCATAGAGCAAGTCAAGCGTGGTCTCCTCGTGTATCTTCTGTATGGAGGAGGAAACAATCAATCATTACTTTCTATCCTGTCGCCGGTATACGTCATTCAAAAGAAGATTCATCACCTCTTTGAAACTTGGGCCTGGAAATATTCGTATCGGTTGTTCTATCATTCGGAGCCTTTACTCTGGGCTACAGCCACAGGGATGTTTTTACGCCATAGAGGAATTTATCAGTCAGACTAAAAGAATATAGGGCTAAATTCTTCATTCTTTAAAAATTTTAAATATTATTATTCAGTAATTATTTGTTGTGTAACCTATTCCTAGCATATACGAGTAGTATTGCGAAGAAACCAAAAAAAATTACCTAGCACTCAGCCAATCCCCTGCATTGGGTAAGAACCATGAGATGAGGAGGAGAAGAAGAACTAAATTACTATATGCATAGAGCTGGTAGGCTTCTTCCTCTCTTTGCTCATTCTGTAACAAAGATGAAACAATCGAGGATTATTTTTCATCGTATACTCGCTTGAAGTCACTGAGGCAAAACATTCTTAAAGTGCTTTTACTCGAATTAGAATGGATTTCATTATTTCTAATGTTCTCTCCTTTGGAGCCTCCCCAATAGGTCATTGTCACCGGGATATCTGTTCTGCTGTACGAAGATTCTCAATTGAATCAAGGCTGTTTTGAATGCAAATCTCTAAAGTAGTAAATTTGATTTCTTCTAACCTTCTTAAAGTTCATTAGATTTAAAAGTAATATGTGATGTACTATCTAAATAATCGTTTCTTGACCTATATCCCAGAGTGGGTGTGAGCCATTAATTTAGGCCATTATCATCATCATTATTAATGCCGGCCTAATACCCAAAAGTTTATTATTTATGCCTTGTGGGTACCAAGCAAGCGTCCTTGCAGTAGTTACCCAATGAGTGTTTTGAAAAGGCTCTGAAAGGCCGCTCTTCTAGCTTTCGCTGTGACTGTGCTGCGCCTACAGGTCACGCCTGGCGGTTTGTTTTTTTTTTTTTGCCATAGCATTTATTTTCAAGCTGCACCTTGGTTTCAATTAGGTAACTTGACTCACCGATCGTTGCCTCATTCCCCACCGTAATGAATCCTGCTATGTGCAGCATGTCCTATCTCCCTACAGCCAGTGTTGAAGAATATACCGACGCACTCTATGACGACGCAACCGCATGCATATCTCAGACTATCCTAGATAGAGTAAGTCAATATTTTGTGCTATGCTTTATTGCCTAATTAGGTAATATTCATCAAAAGGATTTTAAGCAATATCTTGGCAAAAAGTTTTCAATGGGAAAGGCGTATCTAGCGTTGCAAAAAAGCCTCATTTGAATGTTTGCAGCGGCATGTTCACTATCACACGCGAGATGGCGCAATGTTCTAAAATGCGTGACGAACACTTTAATCCCGCTCATTAATCATTGCTGTTGGGTTGAGCACCTCCGGCTCTGTACTTCTACCTACTGAGTATCGTCATCCATGTTCTCACACATATCTCTTGAGGTATGTTCAACAGATGACTCACTGCTTCCTATACGTGTTGTTCCTTCATTGCGGAATTTGTGGTGAAACCATAGATTGCAAGAAGGTCACTTGGCTCAATGCATATGGCTCAGTGCTTAGCATGCGTGTCCTTGTTTCATCGCAGAATTTGCGGTGAAGCCATAGAGGGAAAAAGTTCACTTGGCTAAGCGCATATGGCTCAGTGCTTAGCATGCGTGTCCTTGTTTCATCGCAGAATTTGCGGTGAAGCCACAGAGGGAAAAAGGTCACTTGGCTCAATGCGTATGGTTCAGTGCTTCACATGCGTGTTGTTTCATCGTTGAGTACGCGGTGAAGCCATAGAGTGCAAGCTCAATGCATATGGCTCAGTGCTACGCATGCATGTTCTTGTTTCATCGCAAAATTTTCGGTGAAGCCACAGATAGCAAAAAAGTCACTTGGCTCAATGCGTTTGGCTCTGTGATTCACATGCGTGTTGCTGTGTCATCGCAGAGTTTGCGGTGAAGCCATAAATTACAAAAAGGTCACTTGGCTCAATGTAGTGGCTCAGTGCTTCGCGTGCGTGTTATTGTTTCATCGCAGAATTCGCGGTGAAGCAGTAGATTGCAAAGAGGTCCCTTCGCTCAATTCATATCACTCAGTGCTTTACATGCGTTTTGTCGTTTCATGCCAGAATTTACGGCGAAGCCATAGACTGCAAAAATAAAAGATCACTTGGCTCACTGCAGCAGCTCTGCATGCAAAAAGAGCGAGCTCCTTTCGCCGCATGACGTTCCCATTTGTTGCTACCGCATTCATTGCTTCACCTGGCGGCACAATTGTGACTTCCTCATAACGCATTGAATTGGTCTCCTGCAGGATTTCTCGGGATACCCGAGAGAAAGGGAACCATCAAGGACTTGTCACGGTTCGACGCGAGCTTCTTCGGAGTGCCGCCCAAGCAAGCGCAGCTCATGGACCCTCAGCTTCGTTACCTGTTGGAGACCTCGTACGAAGCCATCGTGGACGCCGGCTACGATCCTGCGACGTTGCGAGGTCGCAAGATTGGCGTCTTCGTCGGCTGCGGACTGTCCGAGACGCTCACCATGTTTGCCACCGACTCGGCGACGATCGACGGCTACATCGTGACCGGATCGGCGCTGCACATGTTCTCAAACCGGGTCTCGTACTGCCTCGACTTTAGCGGTATGTGACACCATAAAGTAATACTGTAAACATTGTACGGGTTCCATGCCCCAAAATCAGGTCCCTCGTTTACGAGGGACGCCATACTGGAGCGGTGCCGAATGTTTAACGTGCATTTGAGTGACATGCTTCTAGCATATCGCTTTCGTCGAAATGCGACCGCCACGGCCGAGATTCGACCCCGCGAATCTTCGGTTGGGAAGTGAAGCACCATCACCATTAGGCCACTGCGGCAACTATGACGTAGGCGCCGAGTTCAACCAGAGGATTCATTGCGCGAACCAGAAATACGTAGGCAGTCATGACGGAAGAAAGTAAGAACAGGTGCAGAATAATCGAACCAAAAAGAATAAGCGGCAAGAGGTTTCATGCTTTTGGCGAGGCCATAATCTTACACACAAGCCATTTGTCAGGTTGCTTGAGAAGGATGCACGGATGAATGAATCACCATGCTTGAAAGTTGCAATTGCCTCGGTGATATGCTGCGTGCGCTGTCCACGCGCTTTCCGATAACGGTGACTTGACTGAAATTCGCGATGCAGTTAGAAGACCATTGATGTTAACTTGCAGCTGCGTTTCTGCATTACCTGATCGTCCTGTTCACTGAGGCGTTCATCGAGGCGGCGAAATAGAAAATTATCTGCGCATGCGGGGTAGATATCTACATGGGCTAAAGTGACAAGTGGCGCTCCATATCTGTTCATGAGCAGAAGATTCCTTGTTTGTATTTCCTTTGCCACTGCAACGCGCCTCTTATGTTCATAGGGTTTCTGTTTTATTGATTACTTGAGCCAACTTTCCACGCCGAAACATGTCTGTGCCACATAGCATTAAACTTCGCCGATACCAACTACTTTGCGGACATGATGAAACTGCCTGACTTACCACTGGATGTTCAACGTAACGTCCCACAAGACCTGGCACATGTTTGGTGTCAGTGCAGGTGCTACGTATCAGAGAGACAGTCTCTGAAGGCAGCTTGATGCTTTCAACAGGACTCGTGTTTTGAACTGCGACATAAGATGGGCCCATGGCGAAGCCACACACGTGCGTTGCGGACTTTCTTGCGGACCACGAGCCTAAATGCAACTTTGTAAAGAATGTAATCGACGTGTGCGTGTGTATGTCTGTAAGTTTGTGCATGTGCGTGTGTGTGCGTGTGTGTGTGCGCGCGTGTGTGTGTCGTAGTATTCTCTGTATATATCGTAATCATCACCCAACATTTGGACTTATATGGTAGACAAACAGTCACTTTATAATTAGACTGAAGGAAAGAAGTGGAAATTTAAGGCATTGTTTTAGGGGCAAAGCTCCTTACGCCATGGGTCGTTCCCTCCTTTGTAATAGTAGTAGTAGTAGTAGTAGTAGTAGTAGTAGTAGTAGTAGTAGTAGTAGTAGCAGTAGTAGTAGTAGTAGTAGCATGTAGCAGCCTGAAATTTATGAGTTGTTCTATAGATGGCGTTGTGTGTATATGTCCTTGGAAAGAGTATAACTAGATGGCATCGGTGGTATTCACAGAATATCTACGGAGTGTATGATGAGTGGGGTGAAGTGTCCGTCCGTGCGTCCATTCGTTCCAAGGAGGCAGACAGGCAGATGACAGAAGAACGGACGTACGGATGGACATAAGGACGGACGGACGGACAGACAGACAGACAGACAGACAGACAGACAGACAGACAGACAGACAGACAGACAGACAGACAGACAGACAGACAGACAGACAGACAGACAGACAGACAGACAGACGACTCACGGTTTGCCGATAAACTCTCTGATGACGCTTCGCCCCACTCGTCATCATCATTCACTCCATAAACATGCTGTGATTCTTTTTTCTTTCTCGATCACAATAATAACGACAACTTATAAACCAAGACTGGTTGTTTATCAAGCCTTTGTTAGATTGGCTACTTTTAACAAAATTGGATATTTATTAAACATTTTTTCTATCTCTCTCCGAAACAGGACCAAGCCTCACAGTTGACTCGGCATCCGCCTCGACCATGCAAGCACTGAGCCTTGCCCTGCACTCCCTTCGCTCTGGTGAATGCGAGGCCGCCATCGTGGGGGGTTCAAACATCATGGTCAATCCGTTGTCAACGCTGTGCGAGTTCCGCTTCGGCATGCTGTCAGTGGACGGAAAGTGCAAGACCTTCAATGCTAATGGTAAGCTTCTCGCTGACTTCCCGATGCTTTACCCGTTGAACTTCATTTACATGCGAAGCAGGTTATGGCGGAGTTCAATCTGGTGTGCGGCGTGACCACCCTTACAGCGCATGTGCAACAGCTGGCCCAAGCACTTCCAGAACGTGCTCACGCGCTACCGCTTTCCGGCCGTGTGAGGGGCTGGGTAGACGCTGTGGCCTCTCCACCTTACACTCTCTCAGCAATCATGTGACGGCGTCGGGGAACCAATGCGTTGTATCCTAGGCAGACGCGCTGGCACGCGCTATCGCGTTCAGACCTGCGTAAGCGGCTGTGTAAGGGACTGTCACCTCTCCCCCTTACGGGAAAACACGTGAATGCGTTGGGGATTCTGCAGATGCGCGATGAAAGCACGTTCTCCCGCGTGGCGTGCTGATCAACCCGCGAGGCGTGCTCCATTAAAAGTTTAGTGGCGAGTAACAACAGCAACAGAAACTACAGTAAATTCAGGGTGTGTGTGTGTGTGTGTGTGTGTGTGTGTGTGTGAGAGAGAGAAAGAAATATATTGAGGAAAAGAAAAGACGCAACTATCATTGAGATGGCGCTACTATCATCGTACTATATCAATATTTGAAGCGAAGAAGTGTACACTTGAAGGTTCGTTTTTTTTGTTCGACACAATAATGATGAGTTTTAACAGACAACCAAGTCAGGGAAAGTATAATAGATGGTATATGAAGTAATTGTAAGGTCAAGGAAAGTCCTTTCCTTCACATGATTGTCTATTGTATCTCATGAATACCATATCAGCATTTAAAAGCGAGGGCGTTTTGGTGCGGCCGATTGCGCCGGCTTGCTCACGCGCCGGGTGAATCATGGTGTCCCGTCGCCCATGTTTTTTGTTGCCATGAGCGAGCAAGTCGACTTTACGAGAAAGTCTCCGAATGCGATGAAACAGAGAGCCACGAAGCATATAAAAATACCAGGGCTGATTTAAGCATGTGCTGGCGATTGCGAGTAAGACCTACCGAAAGCTGAGAATCGCACTCATGGCGGCACTCGTGCATGGGCGCTAAGGGGAGCTTTTCCTCTAGAGTAGTATATTAATTCAACGGCTTCCTTTAGCTTAGCGGTAAAGGGGGGGGGGGGGGGGCAAGCGAAGCTTCCCATATGAGAGTCTTTCTTCGTTTGTCTTTTCTAGTTTGCGCTGTTTTGACCTTTTTACCATCTTTAACCAACTAGCCCAACGAAACACACTTCTGCCGTTCTATTTTCCTTCCTTCTTTTCAAAGCCAACTGTGCCTGCATAGTTGGCTTTGTGCCTGATGACTCACGTTCTGGCGCCGGCGCCGGAACACGAGGCCAGCCTTATTGGACGTTCCAGCTCCGAGTCCTTCGCGTACAACCACCACCCATCAGTCTGCGACTCATGACGAGCTACGCTTGAAGGTTCCGGAACATGGGTGTCGCTAGAGCCAACGTCCCTACAAGCACATTTGTCTTTTACTCGATGTACTCGACTGGTCCAATCGTCTACTTTGTCTTTTGCGTGGATGACGAAGTCTTCTTGTCGAAGCGTTGCCACATGCGACGCCTATATTTATTTTTAGGGGCGAAACTCTTTGAAGCGGCACCCGTTCGTCCCTCGCAGTAGTGCGTGACATGTCTTACGCTTTGACCTGCAAGGTAGTGCCAGTGGGAGATACCACCACCCATCAGTCTGCGACTCATGACGAGCTACGCTTGAAGGTTCCGGAACATGGGTGTCAATAGAGCCAACGTCCCTACAAGCACATTTGTCTTTTACTCGATGTACTCGACTAGTCCAATCGTCTACTTTGTCTTTTGCGTGGATGACGAAGTCTTCTTGTTGAAGCGTTGCCACATGCGACGCCTATATTTATTTTTAGGGGCGAAACTCTTTGAAGCGGCACCCGTTCGTCCCTCGCAGTAGAGCGTGACATGTCTTACGCTTTGACCTGCAAGGTAGTGCCAGTGGGAGATACCACCACCCATCAGTCTGCGACTCATGACGAGCTACGCTTGAAGGTTCCGGAACATGGGTGTCAATAGAGCCAACGTCCCTACAAGCACATTTGTCTTTTACTCGATGTACTCGACTAGTCCAATCGTCTACTTTGTCTTTTGCGTGGATGACGAAGTCTTCTTGTTGAAGCGTTGCCACATGCGACGCCTATATTTATTTTTAGGGGCGAAACTCTTTGAAGCGGCACCCGTTCGTCCCTCGCAGTAGAGCGTGACATGTCTTACGCTTTGACCTGCAAGGTAGTGCCAGTGGGAGATACCACCACCCATCAGTCTGCGACTCATGACGAGCTACGCTTGAAGGTTCCGGAACATGGGTGTCAATAGAGCCAACGTCCCGACAAGCATATTTGTCTTTTACTCGATGTACTCGACTGGTTCGAACGTCCACTTTGTCTTTTGCGTAGATGACGAAGTCTTATGGTCGAAGCGTTGCCACATGCGACGCCGATATTTCATTTTTTTATCATCTTCAAGATCAAGCTTCGATATTACCCTGAACGGCTGCCGCATGCCATTTTAATTGTCCTATTTGCAATTTCAGGAGTCCTCATTGTAACTTTTTTTTTGTAACTTTCACATCCATGTAACAAAAAACTTCGCAAACACTTGTTTGGTCCCATGACCTAACTGGCTAGTAGAGGGACCAATTGTGTGACATACCTACATACTTGCGCAAGCGGTTACGCAGCGACAAAGGACATCAACCTCGATATAATGTTTAAAATAGAAAAAAGCAAAAAAACATATGATTGAACTTTACAAAGAAACATAGCGCAGAACATAGCTACTTAAGACACAGAATAATAATAGCACTAGAATAATACTACTACTACTACTAATAATAATAATAATAATAATAATAATAATAATAATAATAATAATGTTGGGTAGAACCAATAACTGGCCCACATATCGGCGTTATAGTACTAGATTATCTAACACTGCTTGAGCAGAAAGCATGGCAGCAAGAATTACTGAGCACTTTCCCATGAATATTTCTCGATTAGATTCTCAACATATCTAAGTTACTGTACAAAGTTATTGTGCGAACTATCTTATTTTTTTTTTTCGCAGCGGATGGCTACGTGCGAAGTGAGACCATCGGGGCGATGTTTCTTCAGCCGGTTTCACAAGCACGCCGGATCTACGCCAAGTTGATCAACGCCAAGGCCAACTCAGACGGCTACAAGGTTGAAGGTAAGGTTGCCTCCACCAGGAGCTGAAGAGGGGGAGCTACACTAAATACGTCCTTAGCATAAGCGTGCCCGCTTTGTGGAGTTGTACGCACACCATTCATTGACTCGCATAGGCTATAGGGCGTCCGACTTTGTAATACATCATTGGGAGAAGAAATGTACCGTTTTCTGAACACAGACTCGCGGGCTTGCGTACAGATGGGGTAACTAAGCCCCCTTTCCCTTCCTATCATCGAAAGAGGGTGCCGCCAACTGTGCCCCTTTAATCATTCGGATCTGTACCGCCATTGTTTCAAATGAGGAGTTTTGACTATGCAAAATTTTCATGATAATGGCAACCGAGTATTTGGGATGTTGAGTGGCAAAGCATCGTTTGCATACGGCTTTTACCCCCGGGAAACTGGGGGACCAAGGGCAGGCTGTTGGGGACAGAATGTCATTGCCCCATTTTTTGTTTTCTTTTTCTGCATCGAAGAGAGGCGTCTACAGTTTAACTTGGGCCTTTGTAGTGGAGGACCCTGCATACACGAATATGTCCCGAACCACAGCGCTCCTCGCACATCTTCAACCATCGAGCTTTTGCCCATCACGTGACCGCAAACACGTTAGCACAGCGTAAAAAAAAACGTGACTCATCTAGCAAGCCCACATCTTCACGGTTCTGTTATTTCGCGAGTGAAGTGAGCAGGGTCTGTAACATCGCAGCCGAGGTTACGCCGATTCAGATGTAACGTCGTATAGCATTGCTCATATAGGGACAACGCGAACGCCTTGCATAACGGACAGTTGCGAATGTCGCAGGAATCACCGTCCCTTCGAGCAAGAAGCAGGAGCAACTGCTTCGGGAAGTGTACTCCGAGGCCAACGTGGACCCGCTAACGGTCACCTACGTCGAGGCGCACGGCACCGGAACAACGGTGGGCGACCCCCAGGAGATGGCGGCGCTCAGCAGGTTCTTCTGCGTGCCCGAACGCAAGAAACCGCTCAAAGTCGGGGCAGTAAAGAGCTGCGTGGGACACGCCGAAGCCGCATCCTGTAAGCCGACCCTTCTTGACGCGTTGCTCTGCTTTCTTATAACTTGGGCTTTCTTATAATACTCACCCTATAGAGCGCTAAATTCGCCCTTGAAACGGTATCCAGGTAAAGCTGCTTGAAGAGCCAGGATAGGGGCCAGTTGGTTGTACATTTTGCAAGCTTTAAGCGTGCTGCAATGAAATAATCGATGAAGAAAGCAATAAACGGGACAAGACTAACTACCTCGTTTTGCCTGTTTGTTTCTTCCTTCGATTCTCTTTCATTGCAATGCGCAAAAAGTTTACACCAGGCAGAGCTGCGAAGCTGGGCAACGCTGACAGAGTCGGCGGTGGCAAGGAGGACCACATGCGGATTTCTGGTGCTGAAAATGCTGTGTTTCCTAGATTTCGCTGTGAAAAGCGCGGTGTTTTGTCGAAGGCGGCAGCTTGCTTGCTCCCGAGTATACGCCATTTTGGTTGTAGCGAATGGCAAAATGAACGATAAAATGAATGTTGTTGCATGCACTCTTCGTGCAAGTCTGGCTTGAATTCGGAACCAGAAGAAATCTGATTGTGAATGCGAAGTGGTTTTGTAATGCCAGTGACATTCGCAATTGTCGCGTTTTCTACACTGCTGGCTTTATAACGAAGTGCAAAACGCATATCAGCCATTCTCATTTACTGCTAGGTAATTGCGGCAGCATCTGCTGCCGCAATTACCTAGCAGTAATGAGAATCTAATGATAATCTAATGTAATCTAATGTAATCTAATTTAATGTAATGAATCTAAGTAATGAGCATCTGCGTGGGCCGTGTTAATCGGCACGGCAGGTAAAATATTCCGCAGTTTCTTGAAGGTAAGTGGACCAACGCACTCACTCGTTGCCGGTGGGTGTTGTTTAGTAAATGCCGATTGCCTGAACCATCACGGCGATGCGTCAGTATTTTCCAGTGACTTCGTCAGCTGGTGACATTATGACATCCTTGTATAATTGTGTTGAAATTCAAAGAACAATAAGGTTTCATGCAAAAGAACCGGAGGGAAACAAGTACGCGGAATGTTAGGGAGCACTAGAATCATTGTGCGCACTTGCGCACGAGCAGGTTTGTCATGTGGTATTTTTTGTATTTCACGGGCATTTGTAATTAGCAGAAAAACACTAATAGCTAATAGATATGAAGTTCAAAACTGTCTAATCCAACGTTTTGCAAAACGATCTACAACTTTCTAATTGAAACTTTTTATCCATCTTCGTTTCTTCAAAAGTTAGTTCATTAAGGAGATCTGATTAAACAATATTTTAAAATACAAAAAATCGTCAAACTCCAGGCAACGGCAAGCAACATTCATTTGGTCGCGTCGTAATTCTGTGTGCTGGCATATTTTTAAACTCTGGCTAAAGTTACCTGGGACACCCTCTATATATGAAAACACAAGGAAGAAAATCTAGGGAAAAAGAACCTTGCGCGCGGAATAGAACGTGGGACCTCCGCGTCGTGAAGGCGAGGCGTTAATCACTGAGCCACAGAGCGGTACCTCCTTCAACGTTCAAACAGCAAGCAATTTATATATGCCACTTACCGCTGTTGGAAGGCGTCTCGTGGGGTGGGGGGGGGGGGGGAGGGGGCTATGGTGTTTTTAGCATTATCAGTAAGATGGCGCCGTGAGCGCGTGGCGGCTCTCATTTCTCACGCGTCGTTTGGCCCATGTAGGGAATAAGGAGGTGTACGCTCGATCGCGCGCCCTTGTCTTGCAGTGGGGAGGATGGTATATCTTGACTAGCCTGGGGGGCTTCGCCGGAACGATTCTGTTGTAGTTACCCGGCGCACGAAGGTCGCTGCAATCGTTGCACAGCCTCCGTTTGCGAAAAGGGCGTGCTTTTCGTACACAGCGAAGTAACACTTATTCGGGTTGATCCGTATCTGTGAGTACGTTTCGTGTGTCATTTGTGCGTGAGAAACGCAAGGCACGTTTGGATCTGCTTGCCATTCTGCGCGTGACCTTCCAATTTGTCGCTATCGCGTTCAGTGCTCCGCCTTTGCCGCAAAGCTGTGACATTTTTCCCTTGTTATTCATTACTGTTCTTTCATAGCAACGTCATATCTATGACGTAATTCGTCAATGAAATCTTGGTGCACCCAATTTGCCGTACTAACACTTTCGTGTTCATATACCAAATTCATGCTTACATTTGTAGCCACAAACGCTCACGTATGTTTTTTTTTTTATTGTGATGTGTACTCGCCCCCAAGCATAACATTTTTTTGTGTACTTGTGAATGAGGCTTCTGTCGTAAGACCAACGCTATTTATGGAGTGAAATTGTGTCTCGTAAAGTTTCATGTCATGTACGCAGCGGTCAAGCTGGTCGCGTCATTGTAGCGAAGGCCAGCTTGTATTCGTAGGTGTGAGCTTTACTTGACGTGTCCATATATGATAGTATGCAAGTGCATCACAATGGAACAGAGCAGTACTGGCACGTAGCATCTATGGTAGTAAACATGATTAGTTCCTCGCTAACGTGACAAATGATGTAAGGACCACCCCGCCCCCCCCCCCCAATCCTCCTTAACGCATGTTCTTTTACCCTAGTAAGGTTAAGGAGGAGGGAGCAGACAAACGGTAAGATAACAGCTTGTGCGTCCTGCGGGAAAAAAAGATCACTGGCTCAGCTTTGAGTAGGGTTGTTTCGGAGGAATGGAATCGGATGGAATATCCTTATTAGGAGGTCAATGCGTTTGCTTGTCATCAGTAATATTGTGAGGCTTGGGAACATGTAGATGGTCACAAGACATTCATGTCTCCCTCAGTCTTACCAACAATTTTAAATGCGAAGCATTTCTTAGCGAACAGCGATCTTGAGCGTATCTATCTATCTATCTATCTATCTATCTATCTATCTATCTATCTATCTATCTATCTATCTATCTATCTATCTATCTATCTATCTATCTATCTATCTATCTATCTATCTATCTATCTATCTATCTATCTATCTATCTAGCCACGTACGACTTTTAGCTCTCCTGGCCGTCTCAATAATCCTATCAATACCGAAATCGGTATGGCATAACATGACTGTATGACAAACATAATTGACTTGTCATAACAATGAAATCATCACTTGGATTTTAAGAATGTCATGGTTTACATCTCATGGTCTTGCTACTCCTGCGGTGGTTTGCTTCCCATGACGTTTTGCTAAACTTGTATGATGTGACATGACTGCATAGCGAACATAAGTGACAGACCCTAACGTAGAAATCATAACATGCATTTCATGTTTTTCATGTAATGGCTAGTCATGACTACACGCCACGCTCATGGTGCACTCTTGGTCGTGTCGCTAGATTCATATATACAAAATTTGGTATAACGGAACGTGAATAGACGATGAAGGTAAATGGCACGTCCCAACATGATAATCATGATATGCGTGTCATGTAAAAACATGACTACATGCTACGCTCATAGAGTGCCCTTGGCTGTTTCATTAGCTCCACATATACGAAATTTGTTATCACGTGACGTGAACAGAGGACGAATGTAAATGACACGTCCAAGCATAATAATCATGTCATGGAAGTCATGTACAGCATAATATACATCCAGCTCAAATTGTTGTGCTCATTTTAAAGCGACATATTACCTCCCTAATTCGGGCTTCGCATATCGTCGATTCTCACGGTACAAGGGACATGCCATTTTTTTTTCGCGAATGATGCCAGGCCTGTTCGTGTTTCCCGATTTCGGTTATGTTCGCAGCAATCGCCACAATTTCGAAGGTCATCATTCTCATGGAAACGGGCATGATCCCACCCAACCTGCACTTCACGGAACCCAACCCGACGATACCATGTCTTCACGACGGAAGCATCGAGGTGGTCGCCGTTGCGACTCCCTTCGATGGAGGCCCAGTGGGCATCGACGCGTTTGGATTCGGCGGTGCCAACGTTCACGCCATTTTCGAAGCAAACCCGGGACCGCACGTGGACACCATGGCTCGCGAAAAGCCCGGTCTTCCTCGGCTTGTTCTCATGGCTGGAAGAACCAACGAGTCGCTCAAGGTATGTCTTTTTTTTGCTTTAGTTGAGGGTTCAGGATGTCCCCGCGTGCGTAGCACTGCTGTATGACGAATAAGCGTGCCAGAACACCAAAAACGATGGATTCCAGTGACGAAATTCTTTCTCGTTCATCATCAGGAATTCTTGAAGAGTTCTTGCCACTAAATTCAACGTTCAGACAAGGCATCCTGCCTGCTTTGAGGCGGCGAATGTCTACCATAACGCGTGTACGTGAATTCTATTCACACTCCCTCTCGGCGACTAAGTGTAAGTGGCGAAAATAGTATCTGCAACGTGGGCAGGGACGGCGAGTGCTTGGGATCAGAATAAGCTAGCCAGCCGGAATCATTGATAACATAATACTCAAATGTGCTCCAAAACATTATTGTTATAAAGTAATATCTAACATTTTCAACCAACGAGTGCCTTAGAAAAGCGTTTTCCGAAGTAGCAAGGACAAGTAATTCTTCTTAGATAAACACCAAAAACAGGCTAATGCATGAAAAGTGAACCCTCCATCTGTTGTCCACGAAAGTGCTTGTTCTCGTCTCAGCTGTCAGACCACAGCAAGTGCGTTCAAAATAAAGTTATAGCGAAAAATTCGGCAGACAAAACGTACCTTGGGAATCGATGTTATGCGAAGCATATGCGCATGCAAGCTGACTGTGTTGTAATTTTTTTACTGAGCAGAACGTTGCGAAATTGCGCTAAAGATGGTGTACAAATGCACACACATACATACGTTGAACAGCCGCATATGTTTTGTGTCACCAGTTGTTTACGGTTGCGTAACGACGCCAACGGCAAGGTGGATATTAGCAACACCAGAAGCGGAGAACTGATATAAAGCGCTGCTGCTCGCGAGGATTGTTGCCCTGCACGCTGCCACGCAAATAAACTTGAGCGGATGACAAATGACTACAATTGATGATAACCCGACGTGACAGCTGTGTCGTAGGAGTGCACAAATCATGTTTATAAAACTGGAAAGGCAGCACTGCCACCACAATCGGCGTTTCCCGAACATTAGGGTGTATTTGAAAGGTAGTTCCCAGACCTGGCGTGGCTCAGTGGTAGAATACTTTATGGTCACGCAAAATGCTATGGTTCTATTTCTGCTGGGACAGTGACATTTATTCTTTGCATTCGTCCAGTCAACGCTGCCGATGTCCGCTTCAAGCGTTAAATTACCTTTGTATGTTCTCGCCGTTCTTGGGTACGTAATAAACATACACCTGTGGCACGTACACCTGTGGCACCGCATACCGGTGGCCCATAACTGCCCCCGGGATTTTGACTTATGCATATCATGACCAGTAAGTCGTTTATTCGTGAAACAATTCTACTCTTCCACAATAATTTTGGTTTACTCCAAGTTAAGGGGCTCATGAGAGCACTGAGACGTAAGTGGATAGATAGATAGATTTTAGATAGATAGATAGATAGATAGATAGATAGATAGATAGATAGATAGATAGATAGATAGATAGATAGATAGATAGATAGATAGATAGATAGATAGATAGATAGATAGATAGATAGATAGATAGATAGATAGATAGATAGATAGATAGATAGATAGATAGATAGATAGATAGATAGATAGATAGATAGATAGATAGATAGATAGATAGATATAGATAGATGCTCGAAGTGCCTACAGTACAGTAAGTAATCCATCGAATTCAAAACATTGAAACCTATTTCGTTATATCAAACATAACGTTCTAAACGTACTTTGCTGCGACAGAAAACTCTGGACAGGCTGGAAGTCGAAGGACCCTACCCTGACTCCGCCTATGCCCTCTTGAACCGGGTTGGTCAGCCTGGCCTAAAACTGTTTCCACACCGCGGATACGCCATGGTTCCTGTTGACGGCTCTGGTAAACCCGTTACCAAGGTTGTCGGAGAGGTTACCCCAGCCAAGAGGCCGCTGTGGTTCGTTTTCTCCGGCATGGGCTGCCAGTGGAACGGCATGGCGAGGCAGATGATGGAGTTCGACGTGTTCGCCCACTCCATTCGTGCATCGCACGACCTTCTGGCCAAGAATTTCGGCCTCGACCTCATTGACCTGGTGACCAGCGAGAAACCGCGAGGCCAGGAGACCGTGGCAAGTGTCCTGGTTTCCATTGTGGCGATTCAGGTACGTTCCTTCTCTCCTGCCCTGTACTGCGGTCGGAAGATCGCGAGAAATGTGACATTGGGAATGCAACGCGAATATCGTAGTTCTCTAGGAACCTCGGTCGTCCAGTGGTATGATTTAACTTGAGGTGGTACCGCCTGGCATTTTCCACTGGTAAAGGACATCATGATAATATATCCCAAGGTGACGTGCAAAGGAGTAAACAAGGACTGCACAGAAACATGAAAATAGACAAGAGACGTTAGCGCAGGCATTCTTCTTCAGAGCTCATTTTTCTGTTTAGTCATTTTTGTTACCCATGCTGTTGTAGTCCACCATGGCTAACCAAGATACCGCAGCATCTTAATCTTGATGCTCTAAGTGACAACATGGTTGCCGGCACATTAAGCTCTCGGTACGTGAACCATGGGGCGTATATTACTTATGTTTCTGATGCAGTGTTATATATTGCTTTTGCAGGTAGCGCTCGTCGACGTCATTCGTGCTATCGGTCTTCGGCCAGATGGTATCGTGGGTCACTCGCTTGGTGAAATCTCCAGTGCTTACGCTGATGAGGGACTCACCGCCGAGCAGGCCATGCTGTGTGCCTACTGGCGGGGTCGATGCACTGATGTGACTAACCTTCCAAAAGGAGCCATGGCTGCAGTCGGTAAGAATGGGTGTCCGCATTTACGGAGGATTATGCCGGCCAGATCCTTCCGCAAGAAATGATCGCGTTGGCAGAGCAGCTACTCTCGCACTGGCCATTTAGTGGACTGCCCGTTCTGACCACCGTTGACTGGCCGGAGCTTCAGGAGCAGGCCAGGCAAAGCATAGGGGACATAAGTAGTTCTCTACGACTGTAGGGTAGTAGGTATGATGTAACTTGAAAAAAAACAATATATATATATATATATATATATATATATATATATATATATATATATATATATATATATTGGTTGATATGTGGGGTTTAACATCCCAAAACCACCATATGATTTTGAGAGACGGCGTAGTGGAGGGCTCCGGCCGGAAATTTCGACCACCTATATATATATATATATATATATATATGACGATTTGACAGTGTATTTACACCGATAAAATAAAATTGGAGCGCAGCACACAGAGCGAGCAAACCAGTCCTCTTCGTCGTCTTCTGTCCACAGAATGGTTCACCCTTCATGCGATAGCTACATAGCATTACGCCCCGGTTGTTGTAAAAGCACCGACTCGGTGCACTTTATACGAGTTGTTCAGGAGGAGGGCGGTATGGTTTCAACCTACTGACGTGGACTACGTCACTGGGTGTGTTTGCAGACAGGTTAGTCCCGGAGACTGGAATGACCTCATAGGTAACATCTGTTACCCGTCGTATGATACGGTAAGTTCCATTGTACGGAGATAGCAACTTCTCTGACAATCCGACATGACGAACTGGGTACCAGAGAAGAACTAGAGAACCAGGTGAGAAGCCAACGTCTACATGCTTGCTGTCGTAAAGAGCCTTCTGGGTTGCTTGTGAAGCTAACAGCCTAGAGCGGGCAATCTGACGTGCGTGGTGGGCACGAGCGATAGCATCGCGTGCGTATTCGCTCGGCGGAGGCGTAGCAGTCGGTAGTAGGGTGTCCAGTGGTAAGGTCGGATTACGGCCATAGAGCATATAAAAAGGTGAATAACCTGCTGTATTATGACGAGTTGAATTATAGGCGAACGTCACGTCAGGTAGCGCTAGATCCCAGTCATGGTGGTCAGATGAGACATACATCGAGAGCATGTCCGTGAGGGTGCCATTTTCGGCGTTCGGTAAAGCCATTTGTTTGAGGATGGTAGGGAGTGGTCAGTTTGTGTTGTGTTGAGGAAGAGCACAAAAGGTCGTCGAGTACGCGTAAGAAAAATGCGCGTCCACGATCGGTGAGCCACTGCCGAGGAGTGCCATGATGTAGAATTACATCGTGGAGCAAAAAGTCGCCAAAGTCAGTAGCAGTGCTGGTGGGGAGCACTCTGGTGATGGCAAACCTGGTCGCATGGTCTATAGCCACAACGACCCACTTGTTTCCAGAGTTTGATTCAGGGAACGGTCCGAGGAGGTCCACACCAACACGGAAGAAAGGTTCGGTAGGGATGGAGATCGGGTGAAGGAGTCCAGAAGGGGGTAGGGCAGGTCGTTTTCGACAGTGGCATTTATCGCAGGAGGCCACGTAGCGTCGAACCGACCGCGCGAGGCCACGCCAAAAGAAGCGGCGCCGGACGTGGTCGTACATGCGAGATACACCCAAGTGGCTGGCAGTTGGTTCGTCGGGAAGCTCATGCAGGACCACTGAACGGAGATGGTTAGGCACGACTAGAAGTAGCTCAGGGCCATCTGGCTGGACGCTACGGCGGTACAGCGTGCCATTTAGGAGAACGAACATGCGGGGTGGCACGTCGTTAAGGTCAGATTCCAGACGGGCAATGAGTGACCGCAAGGAAGGATCGCGATGCTGTTCGCCACTAATCTGACGAAACCTATAGACATGTACATGACGCAGGGGCCAGGCTCACCGACCGATTCATCTGGTTGGTCAACAGGGTAGCGGGACAAGCAATCGGCGTCCAGATGGAGGCGTCCAGATTTGTAGGCGACTGAGTAGGAGTACCCCTGAAGACGCAACGCCCAACGATCAAGTCGTCCAAAAGGGTCCTTCAGTGAAGAAAGCCAATAGAGGGCGTGATGATCTGTGATGACAAGGAACGGGCGGCCGTACAAGTAAGGGCGGAATTTCCAGACTGCCCAGACAAGGGCAAGGCCTTCTCGTTCTGTTATACGCTCCGACTTTGAAAGAAGATGACTTGCGTATGCAATTACACGATCAGTGCCCCGCGGAGTTTAGGCCAAAACTTCGCCGATGCCATGACCGCTAGCGTCTGTCCGCACTTCTGTAGAAGCATTTGGGTCGAAATGTGAAACTAAGGGCGGTGTAGTTAGAGCAGTGATTTGTCGAGAGAAAGCGTTAGCTGAACAGGACCCCAACAAAACGGGACGTCGTGTTTGAGAAGGTCTGTGAGTGGGCGTGCGAGGGCCGCAAAGTGTTTTACGAACCGGCGAAAGTAAGAGCATAGGCCCACGAAACTGCGAACATCATAGATAGAGCGCGGAACGGGAAAGTTCGTTACTGCGCGTACTTTAGCTGTGTCTGGTCGTACACCGGAAGCGTCAACAAGGTGGCCCGACACAGTAATTTGGCGAAGACCGAAGCGGCACTTCGAGGAATTCAGCTGGAGGCCGGAATGTCGAAATGTCGATAGAATGGTTGAAAGGCGTTCAAGGTGTGTGGCGAAGGTGGGTGAGAAGATAATCACATCATCTAAGTAACACAACCACGTTGCCCATTTATATCATTGAAGCAACGTGTCCATCATTCTCTCGAAGGTTGCTGGGGCGTTGCAAAGCGCAAACGGCATGACCTTGAATTGGTAAAGGCCGTCGGGGGTAACGAATGCAGTTTTCTCACGAATGCAGTTTTCTCAGACGGGACGTGACTTTTTGGCAGTGTATTTACACCGATAAAATCGGAGCGCACCTCACAGAGTGAGCAAACCAGTCCTCTTCGTCGTTTTCTGATCAAAGAATGTTTAACCCTTCATGCGATAGCTACGTAGCAATATATATATATATATATAATATATATATATATATATATATATATATATATATATATATATATATATATATATATATATATATATATATATATATATATATATATATATTATGAGACCACGTCCGGTACGGCAGCAACAAGGTTATCCTTTTTTAATCCAGACGCACGAGCCAGAGAGCCAGCCCGCGTGACATACAATGATGATCACTACAATGGTTTGGTCATACAGTTGAAGATGAAGTACATAATCAGCGCTCACACTATTTTCCCCCCTTCGCGAAAGAGGGCAGCAAGTTAGAAAGGGTTGGGACGCCGAATATATCGTTTCAGTCGAGAGACGTGGGCGATCTCGGTGTGGCGGCGACGACGATCAGAAGCCGCATTGACAGGAGCAACGCGATAGTTGACTTCAGATGTTCGTTCCAGGACGGTGTATGGACCGAGATACCGGTGAAAGAATTTTTCGCAGAGCCCAGGTACACGAACAGGTGTCCACAAAAGGACTTCGTCGCCTGGGCGGAACACAACAACTCGACGCTTCACATCAAGGTCGTTTTTTCTCTTGTCCTGAATGGTAGTAGTGTTGGCACGGGCGATTTTACGGCAGCGGGCGACGCGAGCGGCGAACTCTTCCGGGAGAGATGAAGATGCATTGGAAGATGTGGACAAAAAGGTGGTGTCCAGAACGAAAGTCGGTACACGGCCATACACGAGAAAAAAAGGGCTGAAATTCGTTGTACGCTGTATGGCAGTGTTATATGCGAACTTGACAAAAGGAAGTACTGTGTCCCAGTTTTTGTGATTTGGTTGCACGTACATAGAGATCATGTCGGACAAAGTTCGGTGAAAACGCTCAGTCAGACCATTAGTTTCTGGGTGATACGCTGATGTGGTCTTGTGAAAAGTGTTAGAGGCCTTTAAGACTTCAGCAAGGACATGTGAAAGAAATGTCTTGCCACGGTCACTAAGGAGCACACGCGGTGCGCCATGTCGTAAAATAATGGCGCGAAGGAAAAAATCGGCTACTTCAGAGGTAGCACCAGATGAAAGAGCTGCCGTCTCCACGTAGCGAGTAAGGTGGTCTACGGCAGTAACAATCCAGCGGTGACCGGCTGACGTAAGCGGAAGAGGTCCGTATAAGTCTATGCCCACAAATTCAAAGGGAGTGGACGGGCACGGCAGTGGTTGCAGTGGCCCTGCGGGAAGAGACGTGCTACGTTTTCGGTGCTGGCATGACGCGCAGGAAGCGACGTACTTGGCGACAGAAGTGGAGAGGCCAGGCCAAAAGCAGCGAGTCCTGAGGCGGTCGTAGGTCTTGTGGAACCCTAAGTGGCCAGCTGTCGCATCGTCATGAAACGCTTGTAGAACTTCCAGACGAAGTGAGCGAGGAATGACGGGAACCCATTGGTTACCGAGAGGATGGTAAGTTTGCCGACATAATGTTCCCTCTTGAAGCTTGAAACGGGCAAGTTGTCGTCTTAGGCGGCTGTTTGGAGCACGCGATAAGCCAGTGAGCCGATCGATGATTGTGCGGCAGTAGGTATCGGCATGTTGGAGCGAGGCGAGATCTGTGGACGAAAGAAGGTCCGCCGAGGCAACTAACTGCTTCGAAGGAGCAGCCGTCTGTTTGGTCACTTTGGCGGGCGGTGACGAACAGATGGAAGGTGACACTTCGGCGCTCTGCGAGAGCGGGCAACGGGACAAAGCGTCGGCATCTTGGTGCTCTCGGCCCGACCTATATGTGACGCTGTAGTCATACTCTTGCAATCGTAGTACCCAAGGGTCAAGGCGTCCTGACAAATTTTTGAGAGACGATAACCAACACAGAGCATGATGGTCAGTCACTATTGTGAAATGCCGGCCGTATAAGTAAGGACGAAACTTTTGTATGGACCACACGATGGCGAGACATTCTTGCTCAGTGATGCTGTAGTTTCGCTCAGCATGTGACAGAGTACGGCTCGCGTAGGCCACGACTTGTTCTTCGGAAGCGTGGTTCCGCTGAAGAAGGACAGCACCGATG